TGGGGGGTGATGAAGATTTTTTTTTTTTTTTTTTTTTTTACACTGATTGCTTTTACACCCATATAGGATGTAAAAGCAATCATTTCTCTTTCTCTCTGTCTGCATTCTTGCAGCCACTGAGAACTACTGAGTGAGCTGTGATTGGTCACAGCTTATCACATGGTACAAGGCTGTTGTGAATAGCCTTGTACCATGTGACCTCTGTGATCATTCACAGATTTCAAACATAGCAAGCAATGATGTCACAAGTGACATCTTGCTTACTACTTTGCATGTGATCACTGATTGGCCAATCAGTGATCACATGATCGGGACCTCGTACAGAGGTCCTGTCCGACGATCGGTGTTTCACTGTGTCCGGAGGACACAGCTGGGCACCGGAGCAGTGCTGCGTGCTCCCAGGGAGCGCGCACAAGCAGGGTGCGGGGAAGTCATTTATAAACGGCCACCCGACCCTGCAGTGCCACCGTCCGGCCGTTTATATACAACGGCCGGACGGAAGGTGGTTAAGTGGTGGATGTCTATGGATTATTATACGTTTATTCACGCTGTATAAATGGGGAGAAAAGCTCAATAGGTATAGGCTGCAGCCAGTCCAGTACAATTTCCACATTGACCATGGTACCAAAAACTTCCAAATGAGAAACGCCAAAAGAATTCAATGATAAGATAATGTTTATTACAGGAATTATATGCAGCGAATAATATCAGTGAGACAGCTGTAAAAAATAAAACCTCAGCATTTTGCGTCTGTTTGTATAAAATAGTAAGAATAAATCTATGTAACAAAGGGGGAAGTGATCAAGGCTGGTGCTAGGAAAACACCACAGGGTGGGTGCAGCGTAAAGAAACCTTAGAATGGAACTTCACTCTCTCAATCACTATTGACTATTTTTAATCCATATGCTGCTAGCATTAGTAATTAGATATATCATATTTGTAAAACTTTTTTTTTTTTACATTTCCTCAATTACTTTCTCGTTTCTTGCCTAGGCAAATGATGTCATACATCCCAGGAGTCTCCAGGAGGGGGTTTTCTCAGCTAAGCACGTCCTCCTGCCTGCATGCCTGAACTAAAGGCAGATGGATTCCAGGAAGTAAATGCTACATGAATCTTCTGCCCTTGTTCAAGATGGCCACAGCCAGAAATGCTAGGGGGGTGTTTTTTCAAAGTGATTTCTCAGCAAAATAAAGCATTTCTGTTCCATGTGGTGCCATTGCTGACAGTATGAAATGGGAGGGGTTTTCTTTTTGTAAAGTAAAACTCTTTTATAATCAGCTGTCTGCTGGGCACCTGTTTAATGAATATTTAGACTCACCTGTACTTGAATTCTTGTTAATTAGAATTTTGTTGTCTAAAATTTAGCTTTGCTCCTAAGACTTTCATTGGGGTGTATTCATCTTTGCAAGATGGTCTTGAATGAATTTGTTAGGAAAAATACTTTTTGTGTGTGCAAATTACCAAATCTTGTTTGCAGTCAATGGGCCGCATTTTTGGGAGTATTTTGTAGCATAGTGTCCCATAAATAATGGGAATTCTGAAAGGAAAGGTTTTCTGACAAATTTGTTGGGGTGTACTCATATATGCTGAGCACTGAATATATACAGTGGGGATCGAAAGTTTGGGCACCCCAGCTAAAAATGTGTATTAATGTGCATAAAGAAGCCAAGAAAAGATGGAAAAATCTCCAAAAGGCATCAAATTACAGATTAGACATTCTTATAATATGTCAACAAAAGTTAGATTTTATTTCCATCATTTACACTTTCAAAATAACAGAAAACAAAAAAATGGCGTCTGCAAAAGTTTGGGCACCCTGCAGAATTTATAGCATGCACTGCCCCCTTTGCCAAGCTGAGACCTGCCAGTGTCATGGATTGTTCTCAATCATCATCGTCTCAGGCAGGTCTCAGCTTTGCAAAGGGGGCAGTGCATGCTATAAATTCTGCAGGGTGCCCAAACTTTTGCAGACGCCATTTTTTTGTTTTCTGTTATTTTGAAAGTGTAAATGATGGAAATAAAATCTAACTTTTGTTGACATATTATAAGAATGTCTAATCTGTAATTTGATGCCTTTTGGAGATTTTTCCATCTTTCCTTGGCTTCTTTATGCACATTAATACAAATTTTTAGCTGGGGTGCCCAAACTTTCGATCCCCACTGTATGTATACTTTCTGAGTCACCAATCTGTACCTAGTCTGCAAATCAGAAAATTCAGAGAAATGTCACGCCTCCTATTCTGCATACTCGTTCTAGGTCAGCATCTCAAAGAATTGAAGCCAGTGAACATGACAGCCAGAAAGCTGGCATTTTCAGCATAAGAAGTCAGCTATGATAGCCTCCAGGAAACGTTCCTGAACAGGTAGAAAGTGTGCTCTGGGTTGAAAGCAAAACAATAAAGGGAGTAGGGAAGGGATAGAATTTTGTTCATGTTATTTTTTTGTGGTCTGTGTCTCCATTGGGGAGATTTCTGTTTACTTCCTGGCAGTACAGGAAGTGAGAACACAGACTACAACAAAACGCTTTCTCTTTCAGTAATATGGGGAGATTATTACTGTTTGTATTTTATTGTTACGACAACTACAGATCCTTTCATTTCTTGTCCTGCTGTCACAGGTTAAGGGCCAGTTTACTCCGCGATTCCTGTGCCTTTCCATGTGGTGCATTTTTACAGCCTATATATTTGAATGTAAAATTCAAAAAAGTGCAGCGCTTAGGATAAATTCCACCAATAAATATAAATATCATCAGAGGGGAGCCAGCCTCCCCTCTGATGATGTGCTTTTAGCACGAAAGGCCTCAGGAAGGAGGAGCTGTACAGAGCGTGATGTTTATGCCGCTGGAGCCACGAGGAGGCTCGGCGGCCATCTTTAAAGGGGTCAGTACTGCAATATATCCTTTATCAATAGTATATGATGCACACTGCCCTATGTTTGTTTTTATGCTCCAATAAATCTTTCTGAAATACTACACTATTGGGCACCTGTTTTTTGAGCTCCTATGCGAGCTATCACATCTGCAGGAGATCCCTGTGATATCCCATATCCAGAGAAGGGAGCCCTTTCTAAAGCAGAGTACCAGTCTATCCCAAGGAGGACCTCTGGACCAGGCAGAATCTCATCATTCTTTTAGGATCGATGACCGGAGAGACAGCCCAGCACCTATCATTCATTACTACAGGCGCTTTTAATAAGCGCTTCCGGTGAGTGCGCATTTCTGCTAATTACTGGTTGGCTGTTTATACCAGCATTTGGAGTACCGAGATACCTGCCCCATAAGGATTTACCGCTATTCATTGAACTTTTATATATTTATTGGTGGAATTTATCCTAAGCGCTGCACTTTTTTGAATTTTATGTTATTATGGAGGTTTTATGGTCACCTTTAGTGCAATAGCTGCTACACACTCTGAGCGCTCACTATATAAGCTTGTCATTTATATATTTGAATGGGCTTCACAATGTAGCGGACCAGGCAAAAGAGTTGTGCTTAAACTACTTTTAAAAATGCACTTCACTGCAGTACCATGTGATTTGGTGCCGGCAAATGCACTTACATAGTTAGTCTGACTGAAAAAAGACAAAAGTCCATCCAGTTAAACCATTAAAAAAAAAAAGTTATAATCCTACACCCACAATTGATCCAGAGGAAGGCAAAAAACCCAGCAAAGCATGATCCAATTTGCTCCTGCAGGGGAAAAAAATTATTTCCTGATCCCCCAAGAGGCAATCGGATATTCCCTGGATCAACTTTACCTGCGTTTCTGAACTGTGTTTGGGTGCTGTTAACAATACAGTGCCACCCACATGCAGATTGAAAGGGCAGAGCATTCAAACGCAGTGCGGGAAACATGCCCAGTGCACACCTTTCCCACACCGCATTCTGGTGTGAACCGGCCCTAAAATGCAAGTTTAAGCCCGGGTTCACACTGATGCGGTGCGGAATTCGCAGAGTTTTCTGTGCGAATTCCGCACCGCATCAGAAATCACACCCGTTCATATGAACCGCTGCAGGTGTGTAAGTTAACGACACTCCAAAAGCGGTCCGCAAAACGCGGTGCGATGTACAGAATCAGATTGAATAGGTGTGAATACCCATGCGATCCGATTCTAGTGCGAACCAAAAAAAGGGTCCTGCAAATTTTTGGTGCGGGTGCAGTGCGATTTAAGCCATACAAAATGTATGGTTCCAATTGCACCGCACACAAATCGCATGTGATTTGCACAGGAAAGCGGTGGGGTTCCTGTGCGAATCACATGCAATATACCGCCCCGCATATATGTGAACCCAGGCTAAAAAAAAAATTCCACATTTTGTCAACAAAATAAAACTGTGCATTTATTATTTTCATGCACTTGAGACTGCACAGCTTTGCAACCGCGATCACTGGATGGTGGGTGCAATGATCTAGTTCCTGCAGCCCAGGTCTGTATCACGGCTGGAGGAAGTATCAATGGAAGAATGAATGTGGGGAGACATCACCACACTTGTGCTCCACTGAAAACCATTGTCCCAACTCCTTGTGATTGAATGACGCAGCTGTGTGGGGGAATCCCATATTCTATGAGGAGAGGGGCAGTTTGGGGGTGGGGGAGTGTGGACTCTGACCCCCCTAACATGATATAGTTCACCGTAAGGGAATTGTTAAAGAGCCAAATCTCTACGTGTCCATAATACCAGGGAAGAATCTGACCATTTTAGGGACTACCCTAGATAACCGACACTACCCTTGATAAACAACACTTTCAGCGTCATTAAGGTTTGCCATTGCTCACACTGTTTTGCTAAGTTTTAGCAAATCTACATGATGGAGCTGATTCTTTCTTATTAAGAAGAGATATGGAAGTGGTAAGATACCTTTTACAGCAGAATATGATATGCTCTGCAATTCACGGGTGTGCTCCACAGGGGGCGCTGAAGAAGGGAAACTCCACCCCTGAGAAGAAGCCAAGTCATACAGTGTCCTCTAAGGTCCTGGCTCATTCAGATACCCTAGACCAGGGGTGGGCAACTATGGCCCTCCAGCTGTTGGTGAACTACAAGTCCCATCATGCCTCTGCCTTTGGGAGTCATGCTTGTAACTGTCAGTTTTGCAATGCCTCATGGGACTTGTAGTTCTACAACAGCTGGAGGGCCACAGTTGCCCACCCCTGCCCTAGACTGTTGTTTGAGGCCCATATGTCCTTGGTCCCTCTCTCACCTTCACATGTGAAAGATACAGTGCATCCAGAAAGTATTCACAGCGCTTAACTTTGGCCACATTTTGTTCTGTTACAGCCTTATTCCAAAATGCATTAAATTCATTTTTTCCCTAAAAATTCTACAAATAATACCCCATAATGACAACGTGAAAGAAGTTAGTTTTGAAATCTTTGCAATTTGTTAAACAAAACAAACCCCATGTACATAAGTATTCACAGCCTTTGCTCAATACTTTGTTGAAGCCCCTTTAGCACCAATTACAGCCTCACGTAGTTTGAGTATGATGCTACAAGCTTTGCACACCTATTTTTGGGCAAGTTCTTCCATTCTTCTTTGCAGTACCTCTCAAGCTCCATCGGGTTGGATGGGGAGTGTCGGCGCACAGCCATTTTCAGAGATGTTCAATCAGGTTCAAGTCTGGGCTCTAGCTGGGCCACTCCAGGACCTTCACAGTTGGCCTGTAGCCACTCCTTTGTTATGTGGGCTGTGTGCTTAGGGTCGTTGTCCTGTTTAAAGATGAACCGTTGCCCCAGTCTAAGGTCCAGAGCGCTCTGGAACAGGTTTTCATCAAGGATGTCTCTGTACATTGCTGCATTCATCTTTCCTTCAATCCTGACTAGTCTCTCAGTTCCTGCTGCTGAAAAACATCCCCAGAGCATGATGCTGCCACCACCATGCTTCATTGTAGGGATGGTATTGGCCAGGTGGTGAGCGGTGCCTGGTTTCCACCAAACATGACGCTTGGCATTCAGGCCAAAGAGTTCAATCTAAGTTTAATCAGACCAGAGTTTTGTTTCTCATGGTCTGAGAGTCCCCCAGGTGCCTTTTGGCAAACTCCAGGCTGGCTGCCATTTGCCTTTTACTGAGGAGTGACTTTCGTCTGGCCACTCTACCATACAGGCCTGATTGGTGGAGTGCAGCAGAGATGGTTGTTTTTCTGGAAGGTTCTCCTCTCTCTACAGAGAAATGCTGGAGCTCCTTCAGAGTGACCATCGGGTGCTTGGTTACCTCCCTGGCTAAGACCCTTCTCCCTCGATCGCTCATTTTGGCCAGGCGGCCCGCTCTAGGAAGATTTCTGGTGGTTCCAAACTTCTTCCATTTACAGATGATGGAGGCCACTGTGCTCATTGGGACCTTCAATGCTGCAAAACGTTTTCTGTACCCTTCCCCAGATCTGTGCCTTGATACAATTTTGTCTCGGAGGTCTACGGCCAATTCCTTGAACTTCATGGCTTGGTTTGTGCTCTGACATGCACTGTTAACTGTGGGACCTTCTATAGACAGGTTTAGGTCTTTCCTAATCATGTCCAATCAACTGAATTTCCCACAGCTGGACTCCAATCAAGTTGTGGAAACATCTCAAGGATGATCAGTGGGAACAGGATGACCAGAGCTCAATTTTGGGTGTGACGGCAAAGGCTGTGAATACTTATGTACATGTAGGTTTTTCATTTTTTATTTTTAATAAATTGCAAATATTTAAAAACGAACTTTGTTTACGTTGTCATTATGGGGTATTGTTTGTAGAATGTTGAGGAAAAAAAATCAATTTAATCCATTTTGGAATATGGCTGTAACATAAAATGTGGCAAAAGTTAAGTGCTGTGAATACATTCTGGATGCCCTGTAAGACAACCCCCTCACATTGCTATGGATACTCACCCAAACCTGTCTTCCATTCACATCAGTTAAAGTGTTTACTAAATCCAGGCCCCTGCATTCACTATATCCGGTCTCCCCGGACCCTGCATTCACTATATCTGACCCACTGCATTCACTATGTCTGGTCTCCCACAGTACACAGAACATGGAACAGAACATGGAAATGCGATTATTTTAGTAAATATAGACTGCTAAATACCTTTTATCATCAGCAGTTAGAGCAGTCCTGTGACTTCTATGAGTGTCCAGCAGAGCATTGGTTAAAGCTTGCAGGAGGAGTTTTCCCTTTTGCTCTAGGAGGATGCAGAACCCCTGACCTCTGTCTGGACAGTGCTGATTGGCCCTGTGCTGATCTCATGCACTCTCCCAAGAAGATAAAATCTCTCTAGCAATACACACTAAACTGAGCACGTGCAGAGTGACTCCACACAATATGTCAGGAGATAAGAGGGGGATACTGGAAGAAGGGGAGGATCAGAGAAGTCAGGATCAAACAGCGTTTTTACACACTGCAGAGGATTAACCCCTTAAGTTCCTCAGTGAGTATAACAAGCATGCTTTACTCCATATACAGACTGATTTTACTGTTGTGGGTTTAGTAACACTTTAAATCTGTATTTCATAAATAATTTCATAATAATGCCATTTAAAGCATAAAAATCAGCACAAGAGACATAGCTTACTACTTAAAAAACCCCACAGTATTGGTGCTACTACCCATATATCCTAGATATAGAGAGCTTTTGGGTGCCCGATCCACAGGTGCTCAGCTGTATGCAATACTAGGTAGAAAAGATCCACACGACCGCCATTGCTCAAGGGGGTCATGCGGATCTTTTTTACCAAGTATAGCTTACTATTGATCTGATGTGTCCCTTGTGCTGTTGTCTTCTGCATTTGTTGAAATCTTCCTTCTCCGATCCCCACACCCCAACCGACGTAATCTTCCAATTTGGTGGGGGTTAATAGAGCCTACAGACCTGGAACAGGCACTATGCCCATCCATTCCATCCCCTCCCCCATTCATAGAGGTTGTACTATAGCTTCTATAACAGAAAACCGATCTATGATAAGAGGATGGACAGATGAATGAAAGGCCTGCCTCCTCCATCCTTCGATCATTTTTCATTTCTCCTACCCTGGCCAAATCCCAATGCCATAGCATTCAACAAACGGTAATTTGGGGAAATCGGAGCTACTTTAACGTGGTTTTTTTTTTTTTTTTTTAAGGGCCGGTTACGCCAGAATCATTTGAATTGGCTCCAAAATGCACTTGCCCTACTTTTAAAAATGCACTGCACCAAACCGCATGGTACTGTGATTAGCGATCTACATTTGGGGTGCCATTCAATACGTTGGCACCTGCATGCAGTTTGCAAGGGCAGCGCGATCCCCTGCGGTGCGGGATATAAACAGGGAACGCGCCATTCACACACCGCGTTCTGGTGTGAACCAACCCTTAAGAAATAACTACCTAATTGTATAAGGCTCAAGGAAAACAATGACAATGTTCCCTGTATAACAAACAGCACCAGCTTGTCTGAGAATGTACTGCAAACCATCCATGTGGTCAGACCTCGGTTTGTGTCTGCTCCACAAATTCTAAAACCAACTGGCCCCATTCTGGAGGCAAGATTTCAATCACGTCCTTATTAACCGGCTGTACCGTAAACTCCAACCTGCCTGGGGCCGGTGGGCATGGATCAGGTACCGCCAGGTCAACTACGCGGTATATGCAAGCGTATGACAGTCCAAGAAGGTGAGTCTGAGAGTCTGGTGTTCGATGGCAGGTGACACCACGGCAGTAGATTCGAAAGTGGCGAATATTGTCCATGCTATGGCTCCAGTGAAGGGTTAGGCTGACAAACAGTTGATTGGACTGTTCATCCCTACGCCATAGAACATGGGACAGAGAGAGGTCAGTAGGCAGCACAGGAGGAAGCAGAGGTAGAGAAACATCGAGAGCCTGTGGAGAAGAAAGAAACTCATGTTACAAATGGTTCACCACAAAGCAGTAAAAGTTATTTTATCAATGTACAAGTATATTTAACCATTAGCTGCCCGGCCTATAGCAGTTTGGCGGCCGCAAAAATGCTGCAGATTTCCGGGGTATACGCCATTTGGCGTCCTCCCGCACATGCGCAGTTCGTGCGCTTGCAGAGTCGCGCAGTGGCGCGATCTGTCACCGGCCGTGCACCTCGGACACGGCCGATGACAGATCTGAGTACCGGCCACCCTTGCCGGTACCATGTGACCTGCTGTGACCAATCACAGCAGGTTACATGACAGTTGTATACAATGGATGGCTTCATTCATGCCATCCATTGTATACTAGTGCCTAGCTGTGAATGGTCACAGCAGGTCACATGCACATGTCATGTGATTAGCTGTGGCCAAATCACAGCTAAGCGCAAAAAAAAAAAAAAAAAAAAAAAAAAACCCTGAATGAATCGATGTCATTCAGGTAAATGCTTCCTTATAGCAAAGTAATTCTTTGCTATAAGCAAATTGTGTAAAAAAAAAAATACTGATCACTTCCCCAAAGTACTACAATGTTACTATGGTAACATTGTACTGCTTTGGTCATAGTAAAATATGAAAAAAAAAAAAATCTTGAAAAAAATAAAACAAAAAATGTAATAAAAAATTAAAAATAATAATAAAAAAAAATATATATATATATTTTTTTTTCATACTGTCACCAGTCAGTGTCCCTGATCACCGCCATGCCAGTTATATGATGACGCTGTACTGCACTGGTGACAGTATGTAAAAAAAAATAGTAAAAATAAATTTTTTTAATTTTTTAATTTTCCGAAAAATTATGACAAAAAAAAATACAACTTCAAAAAACTCGCCATTCCTCTTATGAAGTACATTGGACTGTCTACTTTGCAAAAAGGGGTCATTTGGGGGATATCTGTACTGTTCTGACATTCTTGGACCTCAAGAAATTAGATTGGCTGTCAGTACTTCAGGATTGATCAATATTCAGATCTATACCATAGTTTGTGAACTCTATAACTTTCCTACAAACTAAAAAATACATCCTAATTTGGGTTATTTTCACCAAAGACATGTAGCAGAATACATCTCGGCCTAAATTTATGAAGAACAATTATTTATTTGTAAACTTTTAACAAAGAAAAAGTTTTTTTTCAAAATTTTTGGTCTTTTTTTTGTTAATTTAGCAATTTAATTTAAATACCACCAAAAGAAAGCTCTAGTTGTGTGAAGAAAATGATAAAATTTTAGTTTGGGTACAATGTTGTATGACCGCGCAATTGTCAAAGTGTGAGAGCGCTGAAACGTGAAAACTGGCCTGGGCAGGAAGGGGTATTGAAATGGTTAAAAGAATTACCCTTATTTCTCCGATGCGACATACAAAGTTTTGCTCTTCTTTATCTGGCATCAGATTGGAAAAATGTACAGACAGACTGGTCAGGAAACATCCGCTGAGCTGCACCTCATAATATCTGAAAAAATTATAAAACACATTAGATCAAAGGCAACCTCCTTACACCTGAGCCCTGGGGGGGGGGGGGGGGGAACTAGGGATGCAGTGAAATTTCGGTGGCCGAAACGTTTCGGCTGAAAACACCCCTTTTCGGCCATCAGCCGAAATGAAAAAAAAGCACCTATACAGATGGTGAAAAAACCGCCCCTTGCCGCCGCTCGGTAGTTCTCAGCCTTACCTGAGAAACCAACCGAACCGGATATCGTATGTATTCTCCAGCGCCTCAGGATATGCACAGCCAAAAGGGAAGCCAAAAGAACCAGGACGGCGACAACCAAAGGAAATGCTTCAGGGGTGCAGCCCTCCTCAGACGGGGAAATCAGCCACTGGATAGAGAGAAAACAGGTGGCGCACACACCTAGTGCATTATCCAAGGTTTATTGTAGGAATGAAAGAATAAAAACATACTCACAGACGAAGCATGTATCTAAAAAGCATAGAAAAATGACAATGGCCACAACGGCAGGCAAGGTGTTCTCACTCTTAGCGCGGTCAAATTGCTGACGCATTTCGGGGACGAATCCCTTTCCTTAGAGCTGATGACCAACCTCTGATGCTGATGTATGATGAGTGGAAAGTAGGAGCCTTGCTGTTCATGCCTGATGCCTGGCATCAACAGCAAGGCTCCTACTTTCCATTCATCATACATCTGCATGAGAGGCTGGTCATCAGCTCTGAGGAAAGGGATTCGTCCCCGAAACGCGTCAGCCATTTGACCGCACTGACAGTGAGAACACCTTGCCCGCCGTTGTGGCCATTGTCATTTTTCTATGCTTTTTAGATACATGCTTCGTCTGTGAGTATGTTTTTATTATTCTTTCACTCCTACAATAAACCTTGGATAATGCACTAGGTGTGTGCGCCACCTGTTTTCTCTCTATCTTTTACCTGAGAAACCATCGAACGATCCCGATGCTGGGCATAGAGATGTGTGAAGGAAAGATGGCCTCCACTCATCTCTATGCCCTTTTGAGGACCAGAGTGATGTCATTTCCAGTTCCGGTCTTATTTTTTTTTTTTTTTTTTAAGGAACTAGATCAATGCTTTTTTTTGATCCAATGCTTTACATTGCAGAGGATGTGATCTTTTTGGAATAAAAACTTTTTTGAACCATATTACATATTCTGGCCTCTGGCCCTTCGGGTCCCCTCCTCTCCCCTCCTCACCTTCCTATCTTCTCTCCGCTTTATAGATACGTGATTCTTTTTTCCTGTAGCCCCACCTTCCAGCCTAATCTCCCTTACGTTTCTGCTCTATTCTCCTAGTGTTCTAGGTAAGCTGTGGACAGCGACTCCGCATGTGTATTGACAGACCATGGTGACGTCCCGCGGTTGTTGGGAATCCCTTCAACCCCTATGACTTTTGAGGCTTGCAAGTTCTGTTTAGTTACTGTTGCCGTATTAGTTCTTGATTGCCTTGCACTGCCTCTTTTTTGCCTTCTTTTGCCCTTTATGTAAGCTAACCCCGTTACAAATATCAATGCTAGTCCCTGTGTGGGCGGAACTGTTGCATGTCTATTCCTACAAAGCAACTAATTCACTCCCTTATTATATCACGACTTGACTACTGTAACTCCCTCCTCACTGGCCTACCAAAAACACAGGCTATCCCCGCTTCAGTCTATCCTGAATTCTGCGGCCAGACTCATCCACCTTACTAACCGCTCTGTATCCGCCACCCCCCTCTGCCAATCCCTTCACTGGCTTCCGACTGCCCAACGCATAAAATTCAAATTACTAGCATTGACGTACAAAGCTGTTCATAATACTGCCCCAAACTACATCACCGACCTGATATCCATCTACCACCCAAACCCGTACTCTTCGCTCCTCACAAGACCTCCTACTCTCTAGTTCCCTGGTCTCCTCCTCCCATGCCCTTCTCCAGGACTTCTCCAGGGCTTCCCCCATCCTCTGGAACTCACTACCCCAATCCATCAGACTGTCACCTACCCTCCTCGCCTTTAGGCGCACCCTGAAAACCCATCTCTTCAGGGAAGCCTACCCCGCCCTCACCTAATTGCCGATCTCCTCCACTGTTCCTACCACTCCACCCCCCACAGCCATTTCCTCCTGTACCACTATCCCCTCCCTCCTAGATTGTAAGCTCCAAGGAGCAGGGCCCTCAAACCCCTCATGTATTGTTTTGTTACTGTACTGTCTCATGTATTGTCTCCCATTATAATGTACAGCTCTGAGCAAACTGTTGGCGCTATATAAATTCTGTATAATAAAAAAAAATAATAATATTCCTTGTTAAAAACGAATAAACATTATTGAAACAGAAATCATTTACACACAGTAGGTGCTGCAGGAGACCCCAAAACATGGATTGGGACCCAGCTGTCACACTGATATCTCAATCTTACTGATTAGAGCGGCTGTAGAACAGGAGGAAGTCCTGGGCATTGGAGTTTTTTGTGCAAACCATGCACCCCCAAGGTCTGTAAGTGGTTAATATACCAACCTTTTTACCCATCCGGATGATTTGCCATGCTGAAGGTCTGTAAGAAAGGAAGGCGGATCTTGGAGGGATGTCGGGGTGTGCGTTTGATGCTGTACTGTTTGACGTGGGAGAGAACACATAATGCAAAAGTTACATAATTACGGTGGTAACCTGCAATGAAGCAGCTCTGAGAGATCAGCCTGGCTAAGACTCCGACACATCTACATAGACGAAATTCAAATAACCCCAAGAGGCAAGCTGCTCCAATGTAATAATTCAAGAGAGGGGATCCAGATTATTACCCACTCAAAGACCGCAATAGGTATCTTTACATTGCTGCTTTCAAGTGGTGTAATGGGATGATGCCTGCAGCTACAGGCATCATCCTGGTATTGCTTTTTTTCTGCAGACAATCGGCTTTTTTGTGAAAGCCATCCTAGCAACTAATTAGCCACTGGACTGCTTTTACAGGCGGTGGTTCTTTGAAATAGGAAACAGAAAGCGAGCTGGACTTTGTCACTTCCGGTTTCCCCAGATGTAAACAGCGCCACTTTGAAATGGGGAAAGCATCAGGATACACCGATCTTGGTGTGATTAGATGCTTGTAAGGGCAGAGGAGATATCTGGGGTCTAACAGATCCCAGATCTCTCCATAAAGAGTACCTGTCACCAGGGGCAGACTGACCATTCGAGCACTGCCCGAGAGCCTGAGGTCAGTAGGGGGCCCAATGAAATGCCCCTGGTACCTTTTTATAGGCTTTTTTGGGTGTGCTTTGATTGTGGGCAAGGACACAGGGGCCCCAAGATCCCCTATTGCCCGGGGGCCCCATGAGTTGTCAGTCCGCCCCTGCCTGTCACTGCCTATTGCTGTCACAAAGAAAAAAAACAGACTTCAACCAGGATTTTAAGTAGTATTTCCCTCACCTGGTGGATATCCAGACAGATTGCCGAAAGACCTATTACTCCACTTGGGCATATGTGACGTTATCTGCAAAAGTGCGCTGCTAATAGCATTTTTCTAGGAGACAATACTGCTCCAATGGTTATATAAAATCAAGAGTGTTTTAGAGTTTAGCGCAGACTTTGCAATCATCAAGGCAGAATGTCACCAGCACACCGAGGATCACCAATATGTGAGCCCATATTGGTGATCCGCGGTGTGCTGGTGACATTCGCCCTTGCTGATTCTGTTTGGTCCCAGCCGACGGTCGCTGCAGCCCCCACTTATATACACAGTCATTTTTAACGCAGGAACGTGTGCGTTTGGATTTTACACTTGGACTTTGCAATCATGGCACATCCACTGCCAAGCTGGCTCCAGCGAAAAACGACTCACTAGTCAGTCTAATAGATCCCAGATCTCTCCATAAAGAGTACCTGCCGCTGCCTATTGCTGTCATAAAAGGAAAAAAAAAAAAAAACAGACTTCAACCAGGATTTATAGTATTTCCTCCACCTGGTGGATATCCAGACAGATTGTCAAACCACATTGCTTAAACACCTATTACTCCTCTTGGGCACATGTGAAGTTATCTGCCAAAGTGCGTACCTAGTAGAATTTTTCCAGGAGACAATACTGCTCCAATGGTTATATAAAATCAACAGTATTTTAAAGTTTAGCGCAGATTTTACAATCATGGCACAAGCACCACCAAACTTGCTCTAGCGATAAATGACTCACCGGTCAGTTCGGAGACACTCTCCACGTTGCACAATGGAGCGTCTTGGGTGGTGAGCTCCAGTGACACAGCAATATTGGGTGACCCTTCCAACCTGTATACCATGGACAGCAAGAGCTTCTCCGGGGCGGGAACATGAAGAGAGAACAATCTATGAAACCACAACAATGTGCAAGTGAGAGATCAAAAATGATTTGGTGCAAAGCTGATTTATAAAAAAAAAACAGAGCAAAGAAAGTGGCCGTGGCGACCAATTAGAACCCTTATATCACTTAACGATAAGCCAAGGGGTCCAGTTTAACCCTCTCCTTCCCTTTCCTTTGTGTTTAATGTTGATGAACAACTATAAAATAAAATTATAACAGACGTTAGCATATCTATATACTGAAAGGGGGACCTGACATATCAGCAAAAGGGGAACAGCCATTTTTCTTTAGCTTGTGTTAGTTCAGATCAGTACAGGGATTGATTCCTATATAATAATCAAATAGTGTGTAGATAGGTACTCAGCCATCCTTATATAATCATCTGACAGGACACTGGAGTGTATGTCAACCCTATGAGATCGGGACGGTCTGAGGAGCCCTTGATGATACATGTGGTCTGACTTAAGTTATACGAGTCTGGATGGAAGTATTGAGAACAGGAGCTTGTTGACCCCCTATAGTTAAGGGGTCAAAGGATCTGGTAAGCCTCCAATTTGTCATCCCGTTGGTGCAGTACTCACATTGGTGGTTATACTGGAATGAAGATTTTTGGCTATTCATCACAAAACAAGGGGACTGTTCTACATACCCTATAGGGCAGTGATGGCGAACCCGTGGCACGCGTGCCACAGCCGGCACGCCGAGCCTTATCTGTGGGCACGCCAGGAGAATACCGTATTTTTCGCTCCATAAGACGCACTTTTTTTCCCCCAAAAAAGGGGGGAAAATGTCAGTGCGTCTTATGGAGCGAATATAGAGCGGCCGGTCCGGTATTTCCACCGCCGCCGTGTCAGAATACCGGGCCGGCCGCTCAGCTCTGCAGTGGGACCGTACCTGTCCCTCTATCCAGCGGCACGCTGTCTTCCCGGCTTCTGTAGTGTGCGTGACAGCCGGGTCCAAGTGCGCATGCGCAAGAAGCAGTGCTCTTTGTGAATGATAAGGCGGTACCTGGGACACATGACAGATCCCAGAAGCCGCAGGTCCAATCACAAAGCGCAACACTTCTCGCGCATGCGCACTGGGCATCCGGCTGTCCGACGAGCGCCCACACTACAGAAGCCGGGAAGACAGCGCGTGGCTGGATAAAGGAACAGGTAAGATAAAAAAAAAAAAAACTCGGCGGAAGTAAGAGCGGGTACCTGTCAAATTCAGGTACCCGCTCCCCCTCCCTCCCCAAAGGTCAGCAGTCATCTGTACTGTCCGCAGTCTCTGGTCATCCCTGTGCTTTCCGCAGTCTCTGGTCATCTCCCTGTACTGTCCGCAGTCTCTGGTCATCCCTGTACTGTCCGCAGTCTCTGGTCATCCCTGTACTGTGTCCGCAGTCTCTGGTCATCTCCTGTACTATGTCCGCAGTCTCTGGTCATCCCTGTACTGTGTCCGCAGTCTCTGGTCATCCCTGTACTGTCCGCAGTCTCTGGTCATCCCCTGTACTGTCCGCAGTCTCTGGTCATCTCCTGTACTGTGTCCGCAGTCTCTGGTCATCTCCTGTACTGTGTCCGCAGTCTCTGGTCATCTCCTGTACTGTGTCCGCAGTCTCTGGTCATCTCCTGTACTGTGTCCGCAGTCTCTGGTCATCCCTGTACTGTGTCCGCAGTCTCTGGTCATCCCTGTACTGTGTCCGCAGTCTCTGGTCATCCCCTGTACTGTCCGCAGTCTCTGGTCATCCCTGTACTGTGTCTGCAGTCTCTGGTCATCCCTGTACTGTGTCTGCAGTCTCTGGTCATCCCTGTACTGTGTCTGCAGTCTCTGGTCATCCCTGTACTGTGTCCGCAGTCTCTGGTCATCCCTGTACTGTGTCTGCAGTCTCTGGTCATCCCTGTACTGTGTCTGCAGTCTCTGGTCATCCCTGTACTGTGTCCGCAGTCTCTGGTCATCCCTGTACCGTGTCCGCAGTCTCTGGTCATCCCTGTACTGTGTCCGCAGTCTCTGGTCATCCCTGTACTGTGTCTGCAGTCTCTGGTCATCCCTGTACTGTGTCTTCGCAGTCTCTGGTCATCCCTGTACTGTGTCTGCAGTCTCTGGTCATCCCTGTACTGTGTCTGCAGTCTCTGGTCATCCCTGTACTGTGTCTGCAGTCTCTGGTCATCCCTGTACTGTGTCCGCAGTCTCTGGTCATCCCTGTACTGTGTCCGCAGTCTCTGGTCATCCCTGTACTGTGTCCGCAGTCTCTGGTCATCCCTGTACTGTTAATTAGTTTGCACTACTGTACGAGTTGTTTTTTCTAAACCAAAAGCTCGATATTCAGGTTTCATTGCAGTGTTGGCACCTTGAAAGAAATAAGTTGGTTTTGGGTTGCAGTTTGGGCACTCGGGCTCAAAAAGGTTCGCCATCACTGCTATAGGGACTGTTACACATATGTTAATCCTACTTGCACAACTTCTGGCACTGGTTCACCATTGAGCAGCTTTTTCACTGTTCTTCATTGGTTATGAAATAATTATACACTATTTGTGTATTATTTTAATTTTCCATTTAGCGCAACACTAGAGATTTATTTGTATTTGTGATATAGAGAGGATATCCTCTTGGAGTGTTTGCTGCTTTGTACACAATTTGGTTTGGGTATTTGCATGGTTTTTTATTTATTATATTAGCTTTTGTTAGTGATCACACATAACATCAGAAGACAAAATGAAGCCAACTCGTTTCTGAAGCCAAAAATCCCCCTTCTTTAGGGCTTGAGCAATGTAGCAAAAAAAAAGACATTTGACACCTGTTTGCTACATTGTCCAAGCCCTGATGAAGTGGGATTTTTGGCTTCAGAAACGTGTTGGCGGACTTCTGCCTTCCTGATATTACATGGATTATAACAATAACGGATCCCGGACTCTTCAAGCCTGGCGTTCCGTTTATCTTCCTTTCGTAAGTTGCCCAGGCATCATAATCATCCTTGTTTCTCTACTTAGTGAAACTTCGACCTGGAACAAAAATGAAGCTGGTGGCGCAATAAGCCTAGGAATGCATGCATGCTCCTGGGTTAAGGTGATTTTTTTTTTTTGGTTTTGCTTTTTTTTTTTTATTGTGGTCGCACAAATTCCCTTAACTTTAGCTGTTTTAATCCTCAGTGCTGAATTTCCATATGTCACTTTTATACTGATAGCAATCAGACAGTTGCTTCTTCTGACACCCCAATGTGGATTATATATTGCTGACCCATTTCACCATGTCCAAAAGAGAGATGGGGGTGAGGTGAGATCCTTAACCTATAATGAGGAATCAGAGGTTATATCTTATTTCAATTTTTAATAATTTAATTGGTTTTTATCCTTGTAACAAGTGTGTGATCTGCAGTGCAATGGGCATAGAAAAAGGAGAGTGGACCATTCATGTCCTCAACCACGGGTAAAAATTATAAATCGATAACTTTATAACCTGCAACAGCAGGTACGTGGTTTATTTGCTCCAATGCCCATGCAAGAAGCAGTATATAGGCCGTACAACACGACGCCTAAGGGATCGTTTACTGTGAACACGTCATAACATCAAACGCAGATATAAGGAACATTCCCTCTCCAATCATTACCGTAGGTGTCACCACAGAGATCCATCATCTTTAACATTTACGGGAGTTGAAGTTGTACAATCCAATTGGAGAGGGACAAATAAAAAACGGGCCGTATCACAGATGGAATCAAGATGGATCTTTGAAATTGGTTCTATGCATCCCAAAGGACTCAATGTGGAAATGGATATAAACTGTTTTTGTTTATAGATAATAGTTAAATATTTTATCCTTTTCAGCTAATAATCCATTTTTATTATTATTTTTTCTATATCTCCATTTTTTGGCTAAATAGATTTATAAACGCCCTAACTTGTTGTTTATTGGTTTTTTAGGTTGCTTTTAGGCCATTGCGATTCTAATTTTAATTGCATATTATCTCACGATTTTCTCATAATATTCTTCATTATTTATGGTTCCTCAGATTTTTATATTTTATAATCTATTTTTTTGGGTATTTTTATTATCATTGTATTTTGTTTTAGCGTTTTTAATAATGATGATTATATAATGTATATGTTTTCTGATTTATGTGTCACCTTTCAACCAAGGACTACCTCTTTTTGTATGTTTTTATCATGTTGAAGGTGGGTTGCAAAATTTTTTTATAAATATCATATATGTCGGGATGGTTTTGAATTTAGCATCCTTAAAATAATCCCAACATTATAGACGTACTGAGGCTGTTCTATTTTAATAGAATATATTTATTATACGATTGCCATGATTTGACACCTTGTTATCACCTACATGTAAATTGTTATAAACATTTATATGACCAGTCTGGGATAACATATCTGGGATATATTGTTACCCTGGCTTTAGTAGTGAGGATATCTCACTCAATATCTTTTGTTTTTCTTTGTTGTCAGGTTCCCTTGTTTGGCGGTGACACTATTATATCTGGACTTTAGGAAAATGGCGCCCGCACATGCGCGATCGAAGCGGTGGATTCAACGCTCACGCGTTCCCGTATATTTTGTGATCGCGCATATGCGTAATGGCGCATGTTTGGAGACACAAATCTATTGTAAAATGGCGCACGTTTATTGAACGAGCGCGGTTTTTTCTTTATATATACGCATTATCAAACGTCCTGTGCCCAGAGCATACCCCCTATGAGTAAGTGCGGTTGCACGAAATGAGTAGGAACTGCGGCACAGTGACGTTTACCACCGCCGGCACCAATCTGGGGTCCCGGCGGTCAACTTTCTTGTCTGGTCAGTATTGTTTTTACCATACCCTTCTTTGCTGAAATAAACGCACGCATGTTTAAGCCATGTATTCACGCTTTCTGGCCTCCTTGTTTCTTTTTGGGGCTCTCTGGTGAGCTTCCAATTACGAGTCAGCACAGAGCCATGCCCCTACAGCAGAGGGTCTACTACGCAGAGTTTGACCAGATCTCATGAATCCTGACCATACCTTAAGAGGGGTTATCTCTTACATGCGCATATTTTGTGCATCTGGTGAGTGCACAATAGCAATCAGTTTTGGATATCAGTTGCTTCTTTTGATTTTCACTACGTGTCAACAGGGATCCATCTGATCCTTCACCTCACCTAACTATGGGAGATTGTGAACTATATTTGTGTGACATATTGAGACTCATAAGGGGGCAGTTTAACTATACCCGACCCTGCGTTTTTGCAGTGACATATTCTTGCACTTTTGATATTTTTGCATGTTTTTAATGTACAAGGGCACTTTCTTTATATAGGTGAATCTTTTGGAGTTTTTTTTTGGTGCCTTTTGTGTTCCTTAAGCGCTATTATACCCATTGTTACAGCATATATTATTACTTGGCTTTGGCAGCTCTGCACAAAATGGAGCACCAACCTACCCACCCCCCTCCCTTTCTAGGAAATAGGGGTCACCCAAATTGAGAAGTCCATGTGAAAATGTAAAAGAGCACCTAACGACTGTTTCAAAAGTCCAAGTTTTCGTATTGTTATCATACATAACATCAGAAGACAAAAGACAGCCAACTCGTTTATGAAACCAAAAATCCCCCTTCATTAGGGCTTGAACAATGTAGCAAAAAAGATATTTGACACCTTTTTGCTACATTGTCCAAGCCCTTATGAAATGGGATTTTTGGCTTCAGAAGCGAATTGGTGGACTTTTTGCCTTCCTGATAATACATGTGATTATACCAAAAACAGATCCTCAATTCTTTCAAAGATTGCTTGGCGTTCTCATTATCATTTTCACAAGTTAATCATACGACTCAGATGTCCCGATGTAGGAGCATCTGAGGGTGATCAGACATTACATATATAAAGATACAAAAAGAACAGATAGGAGGGTGCAAGCACTAGTGCATTACCAAAAATGTAATAAATAAAAGCATGAATAGTAACAAATAGGTACTCACAAGAGTGGAAGGTATAAAAGCAAATAAAACCACGAGATGGCATACAGTGTAGGAGTCATATATCCAAACAGTTAACCCGCTATACGGGCAATCTGATGCATTTTGGGGGCACACCACCTTCTTCAGAGCTAAGGGGGTGCGCCCTGACTGCGTCAGCTTGCCAGTATAGCGGGGTTGATTATTCGGATATGTGACTCCTACACTGTATGACAACTCGTGGTCTTATTTGCTTTTATACCTTCCACGCTTGTGAGAACCCAGTTGTTACGATTTAGGCTTTTATTTATTAAATCTTTATTAATGCACTAGGTGCTTGCGCCCTCCTGTCTGTCCTTCTGTAGCTTTGTACTGGATTTCCGCATCTGAGGAAAGCTGCATCAGCTAAGCATTCCTGAAAAACGTTCATCCATTGCCATCGATGGTCCCCTTCAACTGTGGTTGATCTCTGAATGCTGGGGGTGATTGTGTGCTTTGCGTTTAGACTTTACATGTATGCTCAATTGCCCCGTGAAAGCTTTTGTCCGAGCAATGACACCTGAGATTCATCAGGTATACTAAAACTACCGCAACATGACAGCCAATCAGAAGCTCTATCAGGCAACTCACTTCAAAGAAACACCATTGGTGGTAGCTGATAGATTTCCTTCCACCAAGAGAGAATTGCCTCCATTCCAGGCTTCCTGTGGGCAAACCCGAGTCTTGACATAACTGCTGTCTTCATTCAGCTCTACCGCAGAGAAGATGGGCTGTAACTCCTGAGCACTTAAATTAAACCAGGGCCCAATATCTTCCGCCTGAAGCAGAGCAAGAAGAAAACAATTAATGACCATCAGACTTAGAAAACACTTTCATGATGTCTTCACTATGGAATATGCAAAACAAAGCTTTACTTCTCCATTTAAGTGTATGTAAATCCTCACAACGAACACACATACATATACATACATATACACACACACACACATACATATACACACATACATACATATACACACACACACACACACACACATATACACACACACACACCATATATACACACATACATACATATACACACACATACACAACACAACACATAAATATGCACACACAACATACATAAAATACATAACCCCATAAACACATAATACACACACACACAATACATACACACACAAACACACATACATACACACACACACACATACATATATATATAATATACACACACACATACATACATACATAACACACACACACATACATACATATACACACACACACACACACATAATATACACACACACACATACATATCACACATACACACACATACACACACACACATATATAAAACATAAACACACACACATACATACATATACACACACACACACACACACATATACATATAACACATACACACATACAAAATCACCACACCACACACCATATACATATACATATACACACACACACACACACATATATACACATCACACACACATATATATATATAATACAACAACACACACATACAACACAACATAACACACACACACACAACAAAACCACATACATACATATACAAAAACACACACACACACACATCATACAAATACCCAACCACACACAACACATATAACACACACACATAAATACATATTCACACACACAACACACACACATAATATACACACCAAAAAACACACACACACACACTTAAGTGTTTTAACTTTGCAAAAAGAGACAATGTCTCTGCAGCGAAACAGTTGAGGGATTTTCCAATTGCAAGCACAGATGAAAAATCCTATGTAATATATAACTATGGTTTCCACTCCCTTCTGCTTTGTACCAGTACGGCAATGAATTGCCTATATTCATGGGACAGACATGAATGAGATCACCAGCATATACAATGATTCTTTAGGTGGTCCAACACAAAACTCGCCTCTCCCCAAGAAAAATCTCATCTTCCCCATATCCAAGACAAAATGAGGAACATATAGGAAGGGTGCAGAGACTGTGGATGTATAGGTAATTTTCCAAAAGAGACCAAAACCTGTAGAAAGATTATGGGATGGACAAAATGAATTTGTTATACATAAAATTACAAATGTTTAAGTCTAAAATACAGAACTTGAAAAGACAAGGTTTAAATCCCGGTTGTTTTTACATGTTAACCTGCAGACCCTTTCAGCCTGCGCTGATAGCATGGTCTTTCCTCTCCTTCAGCTGCAGAACTTCTTGGAGGGGGCGAGGCTGCTGAGTGATGTACATGGGCCAGTAAAACTCCCCTCTCCACCCTCAAATACCCCCCCTTTCTGCCTCCCCCCCTCAACCCAATGCCCCCCACCCTCCACCCCCAAATAACCCCCCCCACCCCCCCAACCCTCTCCCACCACCCCCACCCCAACAATACCCCCCCACCACTCCACCCCCAACAATAATACCCTCCCCACCACTCCCCCCCTCAACACCCCACCCCCCACCACTCCCCCCTCAACAATACCCCCCCCCTCCCACCCCAACAATACCCTCCCCACCACTCCACCCTCATACAAATCCCCACATCTCCCCTCACCACTCCACCCACCCCCCCCCAACCAATACCCTCCCCACCACTCCACCCCTCAACAATAGCCCAACCCACCACCCACCCAAACAACCAATACCAACCCACCACTCCACCCCAACAATACCCCTACCCCCCACTCCACCCCCCAATACCCTCCCACCCCCCTCCCTCCTACCATACCCCAACCCCCCCCTCCACCCTCAACAATACCCTCCCCCCACCCCCCTAAACAATACCCTCCCCACCACTCCCACCCCCAACAATAGCCTCCCCACCACTCCACCCCCCCCCGTTAAAAAATAGCCCCTCCCCACCACATCCACCCTCAACAATACCCTCCCCCCCACCCACCCTCAACAATACCCCCCACCTCTCCACCCCCCAACAATACCCTCCCCCCACCTCTCCACCCCAACAATACCCTCTCCCCACCTCCCACTCTCAAACAATATCCCCTCACCTTCCACCCCTCAAGATAACCCCCCCCACACACACCACTCCAACAAAACCCTCCCCACCCCCAACCCCCCCCATCCCCCCAACCCCTCCACCCTCAACCCACCCAATACCCCCCTACACTCCACCCTCAAACAATACCCTCCCCCCACCCCCACCCTCAACAATACCCTCCCCACCTCTCCAACATCAACAATATCCCCCATCCCCACCACCACTCCACCCCCTCAACAATACCCTCCCCACCACTCCACCCTCAACAATAGCCTCCCCACCACTCCACCCTCAACAATACCCTCCCCACCTCTCCACCCTCAACAATACCCTCCCCACCACTCCACCCTCAACAATACCCCCCCACCTCTCCCCCTCCACCCTCAACAATACCCTCCCCCCCACCTCTCCACCCTAAACAATACCCTCTCCCCCACCTCTCCCACTCTCAACAATATCCCCCCACCTTTCCACCCTCAAACATAACCCCCCCACAACACACCACTCCAACATACCCTCCCCACCTTCAACCATACCCTCCCAACCTCCCCCCCCATCCAATACCCTCAACAAATACCCTCCCTACATCTCCACCCTCAACAATACCCTCCCCACCACTCCACCCTCAACAATACCCTCCCCACCTCTCCAACGGTATATTGATGACATGTCAAATGATGTGGAAGAGGTCTTATGTGATATCCTGAAAAACAAAACTGCTTTGCTATCCAGGTTGATGAGTCCCCTGATATCACCAATGCATGCCATCTTGTAGCATTTGAACGTTTTGAAAATAGTTGTGAAATTCAAGAAAACTTTTTCTGCTGCAAACAGCTGCCTGAAACAACCAAGGGTCAAGATATAGTTAATGTTTTGTCTGCCTATCTTGAATCACAAGGCCTGTCTTGGAATGGTTGTGTTGGAATCTGTACTGATGGTGCCCCATCAATGGTTGGGTCCATGAAAGGCTTGTAAAAAAAAAGAAAACCTTAATGTTGTCACAACACACTGCTTTATTCATAGAGAAGTGCTCATGTCAAAAACTCTTGGCGCAGAACTGAAAAGTGTTCTGGATGATGCAACAAAAATGGTGAACTTTTACCAAACAAAGACCAGATCACTCAAGAATGTTTCAAAAACTTTGTGAAAGTATGAAAAAGGACCAGGTAACTCTATTGCTACATACAGAAACCAGGTAGCTAAGCAGAGGACGAGTTCTCCACTGTGTTTTAGCTGAAAGAACTAAAAGAGTACTTTCAAGAAATTAGTAGGGCAGATTTTTGCGGAGAACTTTGAAGATGAAGAATGGATGCAGAAACTGGCATACTTAGCTGACATTTTTAATCACGTAAACCTGCTGAACAAGTTTCTGCAAGGTTCTGTAGAAAATATCCTGACTTCAAGTGACAAGATACCTGGATTTAAAAGGAAATTGAATCTTTGGAAAAGCCATGTTGTTAAAGGAAATCTGGATGGAGATGTTTCGTATGTTGCTTAGCCTTGGAAGTGAGGAAGGATACCAGCAAGTCTACTTGAAAGCCACTTGGATGTACTGCAGAGCAAAATTGAATATTATTTTCCTTCTCTTTCAACACAAATGTAGGATTGTGTGAGGAGCCCTTTCTCTGAGTCTTCTGTTCAGTCAGATAACTTGAGTTTAAAAGAACAGGAAGAAATTTGTGATCTGCAGTCTGACCGTACCCTCAGGATGAGGTTTGATGATGTATCCTTGGATAAATTCTGGATTTCAGTCAAAGAAGAGTATCCTACCATTCACAGAAAGACTTTAAATGTTTTGCTGCACTTTTCTACTTCCTACATGTGTGAGCAAGCTTTTCCTGTTTAACAAGCATCAAGAGCAAGGAACAAAATCGTTTAATTTCAGTTGAAATTCATGTGTGCCTATCTCAAGTTTGGCCAAGAATTGAGCAAGTTTCACATTAAGGAGCTTTTTTAATATGTAATCTATAATTTGATATGGTTTCTTAATTGCTGTTATATCTACAGCTCGCTGATCTGATCCAATGTTCCGTACACTGTAGATGTGGCATTTTTTTTCAGGGGTTCCCCAAGATCTCAGTCCTGTTGCCAAGGGTTCCCCAAAGACAAAAAGCTTAAGAAACACTGCCTTCACTATATCTGGTCTCCCCGGACCCTGCATTCACTATATCTGGTCTCCCCAGACCCTGTATTCACTATATCTGGTCTCCCCGGACCCTGCATTCACTATATCTGGTCTCCCCGGACCCTGCATTCACTATATCCGGTCTCCCCGACCCTGCATTCACTATATCCGGTCTCCCCGGACCCTGCATTCACTATATCCGGTCTCCCCGGACCCTGCATTCACTATATCCGGTCTCCCCGGACCCTGCATTCACTATATTCGGTCTCCCCGGACCCTGCATTCCCTATATCCGGTCTCCCCGGACCCTGCATTCACTATATCCGGTCTCCCTGGACCCAACATTCACTATATCTGGTCTCCCTGGACCCTGCATTCACTATATCTGCTCTCCCCTGGACCCTGCATTCACTATATCTGCTCTCCCTCGGACCCTGCATTCACTATATCTGGTCTCCCCGGACCCTGCATTCACTATATCTGGTCTCCCCGGACCCTGCATTCCCTATATCCGGTCTCCCCGGACCCTGCATTCACTATATCCGGTCTCCCCGGACCCTGCATTCACTATATTCGGTCTCCCCGGACCCTGCATTCCCTATATCCGGTCTCCCCGGACCCTGCATTCACTATATCCGGTCTCCCCGGACCCTGCATTCACTATATCTGGTCTCCCCGGACCCAACATTCACTATATCTGCTCTCCCTGGACCCTGCATTCACTATATCTGCTCTCCTCGGACCCTGCATTCACTATATCTGGTCTCCCACAGTACACAGAACATGGAAATGCTAAATACCTTGTGACATGTCTTGTGACATCTATCAGTGTCTGGCTAAGGACTGGTTAAAGCATGTAGGAGTTTTCATTCTCCCCTGATATTCCTATGAGGCTGCAGGACCCTTGAACTGCTGCCTGGACAGTGCTTATTGGCCCTGTGCTCATCATATGCACTCTCCCAAGAAAAAAGAAAAAACTCTAGCAATACACACCAAACTGAGCATGTGTAGCTTGCCCCCAAGGTTCTGTTCTATCAGCAGCTGGACTGGGGGACAGCAGAAGGGGAGGATCAGAGAAGACAGGATCAAACAGCCTTTTTACACAATGCGGATTAACCCCTTAGGTTATAAAGGAAGTATAATAAGCATGCTTTACTGTATATACAGACTGATTGTACTGTTGTGGGTTTAGTAACGCTTTAAGTATGGGGAGAAGACGCTACGCTCTGACTGTTAGTCACCTTATTTATTATTGTCAATCATCTGAGACAGTGATATATTCATATATTGGTTTATACCTTCATGTTTGCATCAGCACTTTAATTTATTTGCACTTTATTACGTATATTAGTTTCAGAGATATTCAGGTTTTGAGCGCTGCACCAATTATTTATTAGTGACTTTGGAAGGTTTATTTGGTTACCTTTTCGGTGTTACAGCAGCTGTGGATTTTTAGCGCTCGCTTTCTTGTTCATGTTTACAACTTCTAACTTCAGCTTGTTCAATTAAGCTTTGGCAAAAAAAAACCTGGAAGCTGATTGGCTACCATGCAAAGCTGCACTAGATTTGGCAATCTCCAGGTTTAGTAAATCAACCCCTATGCAATGCATTTGTATCACAGCACATCACAATGTCATAGATGTGTACGATTTATTGTTGTGGCGAGTCGCATTAAAAATAAAAAATGTTGCAAGCGCAGTTTAAATGCGTTGCAGGGCTTTGGCAGCCTATTTAAAAAGAACAGCCATTACTGCAATGCCCTCGTGCAAAGAGACCCAAATAGTTCATACATCTATTATCAATCCCACCTGTGCTGGTTCTCCAGGAACTGTTCCTTGTTGAAACATTCGTAGACCCAGCCAGGAGCAAAGAGCGCGGCCGAGAAGCCATACTGACGGATCATCTGCAGGGACTGGAGAACAATACACGTTACATTACTGAAGCCGCATTGTCAGCACATGGACAGACGCAGAGATACAAAGAAGTGATCCATCAACGCCGGAGAACAGAACAATTAGAACAAAAAGATTTGCTGTTGCCGACATCTTCCAATCAGAATTCTTTTTTAGCATTTCTATAAACTGAAAGGTGAATATGATCAGTTGGTTGATGCTGGCAACAACTTTGTTTGCTGCTTTTATTTTCTCCATTTTTTAAAGCACCAGTCCACCAGAAGTTAATTGGTAGAGGCTGGAGAGTTAAAATGGTTGTAAGCCTCAAAACATGAAAAATGAACAAAGCATTTCCTTCTATACTGTGTATACTTCTATACTGAGCACAAAGTGTCATTTCTGTTTGCTGCTTAGTTCCCCTGCTATCTGCATGAGTTCCCCTGCTATCTGCATGAGTCACTTCTGACAACTTTTCCTGACACCAAGAGAAAAAAGGTGACAGGGAGGGAGATCCAGCACACAGCCTGTGATTGACATCCTCAGCTCTGTTCCTGTGAGCTGTATAGAGGGGAGTGTGCCTCTTTCCTCCAATCAGCTCTCAGAGCTCTCCCCACGGAACTATGCAGTATGTAATTTCAGCTCTCCACCTACTGTTTTCTGAAAGCTCAGACAAGCTTTACAAATTATGGACTTTGTATGGCTGTAGAGAAGAGAAACAGCAGATAAACAGGTACAGCTTATGTAGGGGGATTTGTTTCAACCACTTTAAACTATCAGAAAGTCTCTTCTATCACTCAGGGATTCTACTGGGTGAGATCTCTGTGCTGAACTCCTGACTGCTCACACTCCCTGAGCCTTTTGTTAGGGGCTCCCACCATCCTTGCTGCTTTTTTTAAAATGTACTTTATATTATGGAGAACACAACAAGACTACCCAGAACACACATAAGGGAACACCTAAAACTCCCCAGGAGTACAGGAACCAAGTTGGGATTTATGGAATGAAGGGCTCACTGTTGGGGACTATCCAAGACATTTAAAGTGGTTGTAAACCTCAGATCTGAAATTTGAACGAATCCCATTTTTCTATAGTGCTCACTTGCCTCCCTCCAAAGCACTAAGTGTCCTTTCTCTTTGCTGTCTAGTTCTGCTATCACAGCATGAGTCACTGAGAACTTTTCCTGACACCAAGAGCTAAAAAGGTGACAGGGAGGGAGTATCAGCCTGTGATTGACAGCCTTAGCTCTGTCCCTGTGTGCTGTGTGAAAGAGGGGGGGGGGGTCCCTTCCCTCCAATCACTTGTACAGTGTGCAACTGCAGCTCCCCCAGCTTTGTGAATCAGTGAAAAAATCCTTTTCATCTCTGAGTTTTACAAGGATGTGCAGGACAAATGGCTGCAAATAAACAGGTACAACCTATGTAGGAGGATTTGTTTCACCTCAGTGTATCACCTGAGGCCAGTCACTGCGGTATAGGTAAGGGTTTACAACCACTTTATGGAGCCAGGGGCTGACTCCACCCTCCACATTTAATTCAGAATTCACTTGATTGGTAGACTGACCCTCCAATGAAATTAGCCCCACCATTAGAAACCATGGATCCTGTGATCCATTTGGAGTGTCTCAAGTCGAACTCCAGCTGTCACTCTGAAATAGTTCATTTGGGCGACATTGATCCTAATTAACTATTTCCTTTACTAAGAAATGTGGCTGCTGTCAGCGCCCTATAAAGTGTAAGTGGCATCAGCATCAGCCAAGTAAGTGGCATCAGCCACAGTGCTATATACCATATACAGTACAAAGCACTGTGTTCTGGCAGCATTGTGGGGACTTTCCGTCCTGCTCCAGGAGCAAAATCAAGTTGAGCCAAGCACTGCTCACCATTCACAAGAAGCTTTATGTTTTTTAAATAAATACAAGGCTTCCTCTAATTGGCTGAGGTGTAGAGGCGGGCAGATCTCCACCATACCCAATCAGAGGAAGCTATAAATACCGTAAATTAAAAAGCAAGGTGTCACGCTCCACTATCAATAATGATATTATGAAATATATAAACATTTATATATATATATTTATATATATATATATATATATTTTTTTTTATGAAATGAGTGAAAAAGTCCAACACTAAGGTTCCATGTACACGGGACGTTTCTGAACGATGGAAACTGACTGCTGGAAAACGTAGGTTAAAAAAAACGGCTGTTTAGCCGCGTTTGAATAACGCGTTTATGCGCGCTTGCGTTTAGAAGGGTTTTTAAAGATAAGCACCGAACAACCTCCCAAATGCCCAGAATGCACTGAAAAGTGGTAAATTATTAACTATTTAAGACTGTTTCAGACAGAAACAATTGAGTACTGTCCGTGATACTTTTTTTATTTGCACTAACATACAATTTTGAGGACAAGCTTTCAGGGTATGTCCCCTTCTTCTACTGAGTACTGTTTGGACTTTGAAGAAGGGGACATACCCCGAAAGCTTGTCCTCAAAATTGTATGTTAGTGCAAATAAAAAAAGTATCACGGACAGTACTCAATTGTTTCTGTCGCAAATGCACTAATACGGCTACAATCACCTCAAGACTGTTTCAGAGAAATACAGAGAGTAGAAGCAGAGACAGCAGTATGTGTTGACATTAGCTTAGGTGGGAGTTGTTCATTAACATTTTTTTTGTTTCCAAGGGGGAGAGGTCTGAGGTGTGAATTGGTCATTACAATTGTCCATCTGAGTACCTTGAAAACGCTTTGCATGCATTTATCATGATGGAAAAAGGCTCTGGACAGCATCGGGAACTGGAAGAGTTAAAAAAAAAATTAAACCGCAAACACTTACAAGCGCGATTTACCGCGTTTACAAGCGTTTTGGGTTTGAAACGCTGATAAAATCGACTGCTGAACGCATGTTTTCTGCGTTCAAAAAAACAACTGCAAACTCAAATGCCTGTAAACAAAGATGTGTACATGGACACATAGGAAAACATTAGGGAGGGTTCAGGGGCTGCTGAAAAAAACGCTGAACAGATCCTAAACGTGCGTTTATCAGCTGCAGTGTACATGAGCCCTAATTCGGCAGCTTGATGTTACAATCATGCTGGTGCTGCATGCATGTCTTTGAATAATCCATGATTTTGAAGTGTCTTCTACTGGTGTAATACAAGGTAATAACGTATAGTCCACCAATCTTAAATAATGTGCTCTTCCACCAGTTGTGCTCTCACCTGATGTATATGACCAAACCGTTAAGTGAGGTCATAAAAGCTTGCGTCCCTTTAATTGGACTCAAAGATGAACAGATGGATCTATCCCTGTTTCCCAGATGGATGGATGAATGGAGTTTTTCCCCTTTTCCCAGCAGGGGGTCTCGCCATTTCCAAGAGACCTTTCCCCCCCCCCCCCCAAAGGAGCCCCTGATGTATGGGTTCCCTGATTCCGGATGACAACAATTCTTCCAGTAATGCCACACCCCCTCAATCGGAGGAAGCCTTTTGCTCATTAAGAAAATTCAAAGCTTTCTGTGAATGGATGAGCGGCACTCAGCTCCACTCAATTGTGTTCCTGCCATCAATTAGGTAGGACATGGCTGGACCTGGGAATGTCAGCCTATGACGTCACAATCCGTCTACCAAACTACAGGTATGCCGCGAGTCAGCACAGAAAGGAAATGTCATCTTAGCACCCTAGGATGGATCTACTTCAATACTTAGCCTGGTCAGGTACATACAGTAAGGAATTCACATACGAAGAGACTGGCAGGATCACCAGGTATTTACTGATACCTTTCTATACTTTAAGTTAAAGTATAACTAAAGGCAAAACTCTTTTTGTTAGTTTCGGATAGTGTGGAGAGGGATTAGAACCCCTGCCAGGTTTTCATTGCTGTCTGTGACCCCTTTAGGGAGATTCACACTCTCTATTTGTTCAGATTACCATTATCATCAAAAGCAAAAGTAGAAAAAAATCCAAAAGTTTGGGTTATCCCCAGAAGGATTTCCTCTCACTTCCTGTTTTGGATATGGGACAGGAAGTGAAAGGAAATTACCCCCAGTGGGGCACAAATAACACAAAATACTGACGGGGGTAAAAACCCTTTTGTTACACAAAGAACTGACTGAGGGAAGGAATTGGCCACAGTGTAAAGAGTTTATTTAAGGCCCAGAACCCCTCAACTTGCTTATACACTAGCTTGTTTCCTATGTCAGATCAGATTGTATATCCACCACGTTATGTCATGCAAGCTTTGCAATTCGATAGCCAATAAGAACATCGGAAGCTAGATAAGCGAACATTTCAAACTGTTTTAAAACAAAAAATAATAAAAGAAAAAAAAAAAAAAACAAAGAAACAAAGCTATATAACATGCAGATGTTCTAGGAGTATTTGTGACAAGATGTACATCCATTTTCTGTTTTCTCTTTGTATGTTGATTGCACTATTGGATTACTGTGACACTAATGTTTTTCCTGAAAAGTTGTGCTTTATCATCTGTACTCAATGACTATATTTCAATAAAATGTTATTGGAAGAAAAAAAAAAAACAAAAAAAAAAACAAAAAAAAAAAAAAAAAAAAAAAAAACCCTCCGTTACTCTATCCAAAATGAAAACAAAAGTTCTGCCTATAGTTCTACCTTTGACAAAAGCTATTAACCCCTTCATGCCGGCGCCTCCCAGCCCTTTAACCTCCTTAGCGGTATTCCCGAGTGTAGCTCGGGGTAAAATTTCTATACCAAGAGCGGTAACCACGAGCTACACTCGGGCTTACCATGCGGCGTTGCTCAGGGGGTCCCTGCAGCACTTACCTTGTCCTTCGCTCCCACGATGTGTCCCCTGCAGCGTCCCCGGCCATCTCCTCCGGCCGATGCCGGCATCCGGCTTCCGTGTTCTGGTCCCTGTGACGTCGGGACGTACGGGCGCCGGGAAATTTGAATTTTTTAAAAAATGTCACTTTTGCTGTCATTGCTATTTCAATGCATTTCACATATATTTTGTCCCTACTGCTTTGTCCGGCGCCCTGCCTGCATTTTGAATGTTCTTTCTGCCTGGAAACTTAGAAAAGTCCATGGCGTCCAAAAAGCGTCCTTTTACGTCAAAAGCGGTTTTAGACCGGCTAGAGAACAGCGATAGTAAATCAGAACCACTTGCAGAATTGAGTGATAATGATTTGTGGGGGAAATTCCTCATCAGACACTGAAAACGATTTGCAACTTTGCTCAGCGATGTGCGAATTTGCCTCTGTATTTCAAATTTCAGTGTTTTTGGTTTGATTATATTATTGAATTAAATTTATTATTATTATTTTTTATGATTATTTATTAAATTATAATTTATGATTTCGTGTTTCAAATTTTATCATACCCGGGATGTTTAATAGACTCTTGTTCGGACAGATTTCAGTGAGTTATTCCTAAAAATTACAGCCTACAATAAAAAACTACATATTTCCATGCAAAAAAATGGTACCGCTTTCAGGACAAAAAATCAGAAAGAATCATACCGCCAAGGAGGTTAAAGGTTCCAGAAGGCGGAAGGTGGGGTTTAGGGTCATGTGACCGCCGTGACATGTTCGGGAAAGGTCCCGATCGAAAGAGGAGATCGGGACCTTTCCATGAGTACCAGACAGGTATGCTGGGAGCATACAGGGCGCGCGCTCTCAGCATATATGTCCTTTTTTAATTGCACGCAAATGTGCAGCCTTTCGGCGTCTAGGCCCAGACGCCGGGAGGCCGTACATTTGTGTGCGGCCGGAGTGAAGAGGTTAAGATGGCTTTGCTTTTGAGGTTTTATATTATTATTAATTATATTATTTGATAAATTATTTTCCATGTTTTTGTGTTTCTTTTGGCTGTAATCCTAGCATTAGCTGAATATGTTCTCAGAGGTCCAGCTCCCAGTCCTTTGTAATAACATGTCCCTCTGGGACTGTGAGATTGCTGACAATCACAATGTTTATAGCCAGTGACAGCTGCAGACATTCAGTACGTTTACCTTGAAGGTTTCAAACTGCCCTCCTACAACATCTCCCCGACCAAAGATGTCCACTCCAACGTAGACGTCCGTCCTGCGCGGCTCCACCGCCATACGCTGTAAATGCTCCTCCTTCCAGTTGTAGTTTGTGAAAATTCCATCACAAGCGTCAAAGAACTGTCTATGGATACGAAAGGAAAAAACATGTTCTTTTTCAGATCAAAGTACAGCTTTATCTAGATTGTTATTTTTATTTTACTGTTCCTTACTGGAGTCGTACATAAAAAATACAAATAGATGCTAGGGGGACTAGGATCACACTGCTTGTGATGAGATTTTGATCCGACCTTCAGTGCGAATATGTAGTGTTACGTGGATGCGGTTTGCATATTCTATGGGGCCAAAATTGCACCAAAGTAGTGCAAGAACCGTTTCCAATACCACTCCATGCCGTGATGTGAATGGGCACCATTAAAAACAATGTTATTTACATTGTCATTCGATTCTCTGTGACTCAAGTTGCATCAAAAATCGTGCTAGGGTGATCCTCCTTGGTGTATTGATGACTGCAAAGGGGGCACTTGAAAAAAAAAAGGAGGAAAATATAAAACATGTTTTGCATCTATGCAGGTCAGAGGTCACCTTGTTTATTATATTATTAATATTCAAACAATATTTATTATATTAATAATAATAATATTTCCAGTCTACAGATTCTTACTGGAGTCATATAGCAAACATACTGATGACTGCTAAAGGGCACTGTAAAAAAAAAAGTAATCTTGTATATTTTAATAATAATATAATAATTTATTTATTATTTTCAGTCTACCAATCCTTACTTGTGATGTACACCAAGTGTATTGATGACTGCAAAGGGGGCACTTAAAAAGAAAAGGAGGAAAATATAACATGTTTTTTGCATCTATGCAGGTCAGAGGTCACCTTGTTTATTTTATTATTATTATTCAAACAATATTTTTTTTTTATTATTATTATTATTATTATTATTATAATAATAATATTAATAATATTTCCAGTCTACCGATTCTTACTGGGGTCATATAGCAAACATACTGATGACTGCTAAAGGGCACTGTAAAAAAAAAAAAAAAAAAAAAAAGGTAATCTTGTATATTTTAATAATGATATTTAATTTAGTAATAATATTTATTATTATTATGTTCAGTCTACCGATCCTTACTTGTGGTGTACGCCAAGAGTATTAATGACTGCAAAGGGACCACAAAAAAAAAAAAAAAAAAGGAGGAAAATATAACATAACATGTTTTGCATTTATGCAGGTCAGAGGTTACCTTGTCCATTTTATGATGAATATTTATTTCAGCAATATTTAATAAATAAATAATAATTTTTTTAGTCTACTGATCCTTACTGGAGTCATATAGCAAACATATTGATGACTGGCAAAGGGCACTTAAAAAAAAAAAAATGGGAAAATGTACCACATTTTGCTTTTATGCAGGTCAGGGGGTCACCTTTTCTATTTTATTATTAATAATTAAATTATAATAATGAGTAATATTTTCACTCTACTGATCCTTACCGGGGTCATATAGCAAACATATTGATGACTCCTAAAGGGCACTTAAAAAAAGAAAAAATATAACATATTTTACATTTCTGCAGGACAGAGGTCACTTTGTCTATTTTAAAAATAATATGTAATTGAATATTTATTATTAATATTATTTACAGTAATAATAATAGCATAGCCGTGAACCTTTGATAGCACACAATGCGATTAGAACAACACCATTCCATCTGTCACTTACCTGTTTTCATCATTAAGTTCATTTTGCCATCGCAGTTCTCCAGTATGGATCACACTATCGTACCAAAGGACGAGGCTGCCCGGGACTTGGGAATGCATCTTTTCCATTAAGTAGGAAAGGAACAGCGGGACCCGGGACACTGCCAGAGGCTACACATGAAAAGAGGATGACAAACTAGGAGAACTTTCCATTATCATTGTGTTTATTCTGCTGCTCCTTAATTTTGCTTGGATACACAGGGGTAAGAAAACTACTAGTCCAGGGACTAAATCGGGGCCCTAATCTACTTGTCCAGGGACTAAATCGGGGCCCTAATCTACTTGTCCAGGGACTAAATCGGGGGCCCCAATCTACTTGTCCAGATTTTAAAAAAAAAAAATTTTTTAACCAAAACCGTATTTAAATCGGAGGTGATTTTAGGAATGTCTGGGGCTTTTAAAAACAAAAGGGGCTTTATGGCGACTAAACGTGTAATATATTTAACATTTGCGCTGTTTATCTCCTCTTCCCGCCTCTCTCCTGTACCGCACCCAGTGATTAGCAGGGAGGGGAGACCTTGCAGTGTAATGAGCACCGATTGGCTGCTCGTCAGGAAAAGGGGAGTCTCGGGCTTATCCTTTATCCCTTTCGATACCAGAGCCATTTTGTTCGGTTTGTTAAGGCCACGCATTATATAAGACCCCCAAACATGATATATTTTTCTGAAAGCAGAGACCCTAGAGGATAAAATAGTGCTAGTTCCAATTTTTTATGTTGCATGATATTACCAAAAAATGTCAGTAAAATGTACAAGGCCGTTAATTTAGGGCACAAAAAAAATCAATAAATTGATTATTCTTTTGTAAAATATAAAAGATGAGGTTGCAGCGAGTAAATAGATATCTAACTTGTCAAACCTTAAATTTGTGCTTGTGAAATGGCGACAAACTTCAGTACCCTATATTTTCTATAGGTCAACACTTTTAAAGCTCCTTATAGGTCAACAGCTTAGCATTACGGAGGAGGTCTGGTGCTAGAATTATCGCTCTCATGCTGGCGTGCGCAGCGATATGTAACATGTGTATTGCAATTGCCGGTTTCAAGCGTGTGCTTTTACATTTGTACATGCGTATATATGTGGTGGTGGGGGCCTCAATATTTTTTTTTTGGGGGGGGGGGGATGGTATGTGCTTGGGTGTAACTTTCATTTTTTACAATAAAAAAAACCTTTTTTTTTTCTCCAATCACATAGGGGACAAAGTGATGATTTTTGGTGACAGGTTCTCTTTGAGACATCCAAGGTCTAAAAGACCCTGGATGTCTCCCTCTGCTCCACTGGGGATTGCATTACAATCTTTCACCGGGGACCCGGAAGTGACATCATAACGTCACTTCCGGGTCAGCACAAGAAGGGGAGGGGAGTGGACTTGTCCGCTCTTCTCCCTCCCCTCTAACCGACAGCAAACCGAGCCCGCAGATAGGCAAGCAGAGCCCGGTAGACCTCACGCCGGGGGCGCGGAGAGCCTGGCACTGTGATCGCTTCACCTGACAGATGAGCCCTGCTGCTTGCCCGCATCAGGGCTAAAGGTAGAAAGAAACTACCTGCCCAGCGCCCGGAACTACATATCCCGGGCGTCGGGTGATAGGAATCCAATATCCCTGATACACATACAAGATAAAATGACACAATAATCACAGCCCTTTTCTGAGATCTGCAGTACTAAAAATTGGCTGGTTGTCAAAGCCCAATATCACCTTTCCTAGAAAAAAAAATAATAAAAATGGATATTTTTTTGACAGTAGCCTGCAGAGCATTGCACCCTTGATCAGTGGATCCTGTAGGCACTACCTGGAGCTCTCTGCCCGTATGTCTGTGCAAGCAGACACTTCCTGAGCTGTAGGCGGTATGTATGAACTACAGTGTGCTGATCAACATGCTCACAGTTCATTGATACTACAAGTCCATCTGTGGCGCTGGAGGATGGGACCTGCAGTTTATTCATTCACAGATTCTTGTGAGTGAAGTATACAGCTGTGCGGGCAGAGCCCTGCACAGCCACACGGATTTCAAAATGTCACAGGAGGCTGAGGGTGAGGATGCTGCATAGTAACATGTTACACCGTAAATACAGGTGTAACATGTAACTAAAAGGTGGACTTAGCCTTTAACAGGATTGTAGCCATAAAGAGAGCGCTAGAGCCCCACCTGTTGGCTGGAGATGGTAGATATGAAATATCCATATTTGTATATACTTGACTGAACAAAATAACATTTATTTGCCCTGAACGTAAAAAAAAGGAAACACGAACACTAAACATTCTTTTCCAATGCCGTATCATGCTCATATTTGAATCTTTGAGACACCTGCTGAATTTGTAAAATTCTTCCACAATCACCAAGAATAAGGTATGTACGTCCTACAGAAATGAAAATGCGGCTGGCACTGAGACCAGCCATTAATGGTGTGATAATTGTGCGCACAGATACGGACAATGACAACCATAATTTGGATCATACTCTGCAAATGTCATTCTCACTCCAAATCAGTCCCCTTCCCTTTTTGTTGAATGGCATGTGGTGTGCTGGGGTCACAAGGACATTGGGCACAGCTGGATACGCTTCATGGTTGTAAACCCAATTAGCTGGTTCCATGATGTCTGAAAGACCCTTGCCTTGGCCGGGTCGTAAAGCTATAAACCAGTCAGTCACTGGACATGAAAGCATTCCAGGGTGGCAGTAAAACATACATCCCACTTGAAACCACTTTTTCATACAATTTCATAAATCCCGGCAGGAACAAGGTACAATAAAACAAAGCATATATTCAGAGAGGTCAGTTTAATACGAGTCACCTGATACCTTACACCCCTAGATAACGTCTAACAGAGAGCAGAAAGCAATATCTCTTTAACCGTCACAGCCAGATATGTCATATTTGATGTCTGGAGGTTCAGAATATGGTTCTGTATATTAACCTGCCAATGGCTAAGCTGCTGCATGAACCTATGGAAGGTTATTGACCATGGTATAAATGCGGGAGGGATTTGGCCATAGCCAGGGTCCCCGCCTAAACACCCCTCCCCAAATGAGGGGATTGGTTCTCTGCTTTAAGGAGACACCCTGCTGAGTTCCTAGAAAACAGGCTGTCATGCCTGGAGAGAGGAATGAAGAGATTCTCCCTTTTAACATCAGGAACCAACTTTGGGAGAAAAGGCACCCTTTTGTTCGGACACTTGAACGCTGCTTAAACCCAGGACTCCTGCAAGTATTCTACCTTCTTAAACTTCTTCCTTTATCTCTCTAGTGTGTTATTGCTCTCTGTATGTGTATCTCTCTCTCTCTCTCTCTCTCTCTATATATATATATATATATATATATATACACTACATTTTTCTCTGTAAATATTTTTTATTGCACCATTTTGACCTTTTTAGTAATAAATCCTATTTTCTGAAAAGTGTTGAACTGTTTCTAAAGCTCTTTAATGCAAACTAAGAATCCCTGTCTCCCTGAAGAGTGCTACTGTGTGTTTAAAACCTCTGTATACATCTGCCTGCGGTGACAGTGTGTATACAGACGCTTATTCAAACATCATAGTGTTACTGCTAAGATTTGTGAGTTTCCTCCTTCTCTGTAAAAAGGTGGTGGTGGCAGTGTGAAAGGTTAATTGCGTAATTAACCTGACCCAGTAACAAGCGCTCTCAGGCTGCGGGCACATAGATTGTGGTCCAGTAAGCTGGAAAATCTTTGTGCAGGGTGCAGCTGAGCGTGGCATTGTTACGCAAGTGGCAGCACGGTTTTAGATTGGCTAGTCCTTTGGTCACAAGTTGGTGAGAAGGACTGGAGTCTGACGCCGCGCCCGTCACAAACAGTACTTGAGACTGGCCAATAATGGCACTAATGCCAACCAGTATGGACATAGAGGCTAACCAATGACAGTGAAAGAAGCCAAAAAAGACACGGAGGCCAGTCAATAGTGACAATGAGGAGAGCCAGTAAGGACATGGAGGTCGCTAAATAAAAACACTTAGACCACCCAATAAAGACACTGAGGCCAGCCAATAGGGACACTATTGCAAACTACTAAGGACATAGAGGACAACCAATGTGAGTGAAGCCTGCAAATAAAACCACTTTGACCAGCTAATGACGACTGAGGCCAGTCCACAGTGACAATGAGGCCAGCCAATAAAGACCCTGAGGTCACTCAACAAGACACTAAAGCCAGCCAATAAAGATACTAAGGACAACTAAGAAAGACACTTAGGTTAGGTAATAAGGACATTGAGATCAGCCAACAAGGACACTGACCTTGTTGCTACAAGTCAATATATATTGACCATCTAAGACACTCTGAAAAGATAACTGGAGGTACTTGCAGGTATCTCCAGGTTCCTGCAGTGAATGTCCACTGTCACTTTATCATTTTACATTCATAACAGATATCCTTTAAAGTGTAAGTTCACCTTTCATAACATGTTATACCCATATGCAGGCGTAACATGTAATATGTTATGAATACAACAGTCCCCACTCCCCGCTTTAAAAAAATGTAGCCATGTGGGGCTCCGCCTTCCCAGCCGCATAACTCATTCAGTCCTCTATGAATGAGAAACTACAAGTCCTGACTGCCTTAGCGGGCTGTCGGCTTGTAGCTCTCAATGAAGTACCACAGTGCTGTGGAACGCCGTGGTAGTTCATGGATTCTTCCTGTCAGTATATCTGCTTGCTCATACATCCCATACTGGCAGGCAGATATACTTACAGATCTGCAGGAGACCTGCATGGCACCAGTGATTAGCAGATCGTTGGTGCCATGCAGGTCTCCTGCAGATCTGTAAGTATATCTGCCTGCCTGTATGGGATGTATGAGCAAGCAGATATACTGACAGGAAGAATCAATGGTTTCTAGGCTCCAGCAACCAAAAATAATAAATGCACATTTTTTTACCTGCAAAAATAACCAAAATGTACATTTATTATTTCTGGTAAAAAGGTGAACTTATCCTTTAAAGGCTTAGTTCACCCTTCTGACCATGTTACAAGTTACACCCGTATTTAGTGTGTAATATGTAACATGTTTAGCATCCACCCCATCTCCCCCCGATCCCTCCTGTGACAGCAGGCGGGGGATCCTCTCCCCACACCCACTGTCACAATTTGAAAACAGTGGGGCTCCACCCACACAGCCAT